TATTTTTAGAATTTAGTTTATTTTGACATCGCGTTCGTGGCAAGTTGTGTGATCGCGAATAATTAATTGTTTTTATTATCGAGAATTTGTATTTTATTTATATTAAAGAAATTATCATAATTATTCGTTTGGAAGCTATGAACACTTTAAGGCTTTTCGGGGGTGTAGAAGGGTAAGTAATTTACAGTATCCTAAGCATTTTAACTTAATGTAAATGTGGAAAGGAGAAAGGCTGCCTTGAATGCATAGGAATTTCGAAATGAACTATATTTTAATTACCTAAATGATCGTGATGATTCCTCACTTCCATCATTCTTACGATAATTAGTAAAAAATCCTTAATCTAAAATGCCCGCCACTACCAAATGTAGTAAAAAAAATAAACATTACCAGACAAAATGCCATCTATATAATTTTATACTTTATTTTCATGTTATTAAATTCTAAAATAAGTATTTAGTCGACAAGAATGCTAGGAATGTTCTGCATTCAATGGCCTTCAATTTTCGCGCTTTTAGTTCTGTATTAATCAATAGTGTTATGTATATCCGTGATCTTTTGCCGGTAACCGGATTATTTATAAGCGTATAATATTATATTATTAAAGTTGAAGTAAATATTTATATAAGGAATTAGGACTTACTGACATTAGGCATCGCCGACTTTTAATATTAAATCGATGCAACAAATAGTTTGAAAATGGAATGAAACAGACGTTGGTCTTGTATTTTACCATAGAACTGTAGATATTTAAATTTTACAATAACAAGTAAAATCACACACGTAAAGACGGTTAAATATCAATTTCGAATAACAAAACAGCTTCTTCGTTAGATATATTATATCGTTACACATATTACATACGATCGTTCGTTACATATAAAAATCTAATTATATGTAATCAATAACATTGACCATACTTGTAGGGTCACTAAAATGCCCTTGCCCTATGATGCAGTTTTGACCTTAACTGGTAATACTTAGTTGAAAAAAATAGTTACTAGAGATGTTCCGCAGTCTTGTTGACCTATTTATGTTGAGAACGGACAATAATTCTGCAATTACTACCTTATTTAAGGAAACGATAAATGCTATTTTTTTTTTACACACGAAACGTATATTTCACTCTATTCCATTTTTATTATTTTTTTTAGTAAAATTTAAGGAATCGGCTTCATTCATTGGGTTGGATGATTAGAAGTATAGACTATAGACTATTTTGAAACAAGACAGCGAGAAATATGACTTCCGTATTTTAAAAGTCCCTGACTTACGTTCATATTTGCAACTTAAAGTTTAGTCTATGTCAAGTGATAGAAATGGGGAACTTGAGCGTAACTTAGATCGGTAAAGTGCTAATCGCGTAGACGATAAGCTGTCATAAAGTGCACAATTCACATATTTCGCAGTAAAACATTATCTTTATAATACTTTTGCGATAAACAAAAATCCCCTTATGTATTTCACGTACTTCTTAATCTACTAATTCCTGAAAAGTCCATAAAATGCACATGCGAACATTGTGATGGGCAGAGGTCATATGGACATAGATTATCTGCTATATAAACAAAACAGTAATGTAAATTTTCCATTGTAATGTATTCGAAACGTTGAGTTCAAATGTCTCTTTCTCATGAAATGTATGTAATGTATTTGAGTAACTAGTCTCGAATTTAAGAAAAAACAGGTTTGAAATCTAAGTTATAGGATACGTAACCGAAATGACCACTGATTACCGTCTCGGCTCTAAATATAATGCCGGCCATACACACTACGGTCTACCGGAGAGGTAATCTGTGCAGGTATGCCTGCGCAGGTCAACCGAACAATGGTAGCGTGTATGGGGACGTTCCGGTGTATCGGAGCGTACACAGGTACACCGTACGGTGTCACTCGAAAGAATCGATTTTCGATCTTGCGCCGGTCGCCTGCGCAGGTTCAAAAACCTGCACAGGTCTATTCCCACACACATTCCGGTCTACCTGCGCAGGCATACCTGCACAGGTGGACCTCTCCGGTAGACCGTAGTGTGTATGGCCGGCATTACCCTTCTTGCAATGTTTACATTCCCGAATATAGTATTATAAATCCACCATATCACTCTTGAATTATCATTTTTGCTATAAAGATAAATTAAGATTTACTATGAAATATTATCAAGAGTATGAAATCCTGAATCTATGCTTATCTTTTCTTATAGATTTTCGTATAAAATTACGAAATTCGGTTAATAATAATCTAACCGATTTGTCACGCTTTCACTGCTTACATACATTTAAAGTCAAAATAATTAGTATATATTATGCAACGTTTAAAATCATTTATTTAATATTTTTAATTAAATGTTGGCTACTATCTTGTGTCTATATAATAACGACTAAATCATTTATGATTTTTTTGAGTTATTAAGATTTCTGTCTAAATAGAATTAAAATTCAAAAACTTCTAGCAAGTGCATTCACGTGTATTCAATGACAATACATGCCTCTGCGCACTTGTTTATACAAAAAGTACCAATTGTAATTCAACTCGTCGTTATCGTGGAGTGGAATGCTCGCCTAAACGACCTTTATCGTGACACACCCACGTCAATGAAAGGGAGTTTTTATTTACAAACAACTTTTCACTTGCTTTGTCTATGAAAAACTTAAATATATCTCTAGGTAACTTTTAAATGTGCTAAAACTAAAAGAATAGTTATCTGTTTTGCAAGAAAAATATACATTTTATAGTATCGATTAGACTAGAGTTTTTTAAATAATCAGATGAGTTTTTTTTAATAATAATTAGACAGTTACAATTGTAGTTTATTTAAGGATCAGTAAATTTTACACACAAAATATTAAAGTACAAAAAGCTAAACTTACTTAAAGCAAACTCATTTATTCATTCTAGGCTTATGACGCTGGAATAGCTACAATTTGACAACTAAATAAAAACTACCACTGACTACACTCAATATATTATGAACGGCACCCTCAACAATTAAGACTGCACAAATATCATCAAAAACGGCATATTTCTCGAAACATGTACGTAAAAGTAGCTTTGTGTAACAAGTAACAACAAATGTAACAGTCAGAGCTACATATAGAACCAGCTATCCACTGAAGTATTTCCAAACCAATTCGACTTAGGGTTGTTCAAAAAGAGCGTACTTAAAGGCCGGCAACGCACTTGCGAGCCCTGGCATTGATTGTCCATGGGCGGCGAGGCGGTAAAGCACTAAGAAAGCTTTCTACCCGTCTGCCCCCCTGTTCTATAAAAATAAAGTGATAAGTGATATTCAATATGTACTCAACATACAATATAATAACACAAAAATACAATGAATACTTATTACATGTTCATCAATATTATAAAGATAACATTCAATCAACAACACTTATCTTCCGCACTCGATGAATAGCTGCCTAAAAATATTGACTACATATTATATTAGTAAGTTTTATAAAAAATGTTATAAATGTTAAAATGTGTTTGAATAAAAATTATCTGGGATTTTTAACAGCAAGGGAAAACGTTCTTAATTTATTAATCATTTTAAATCGTACCGTGGTCGAGGTAGTTATAAAATAAATAATGTTCATATTTACAAATTATGGAGAAATTCACCTCACATAACGTAATTCTTATATAATTGATAATAAGTGTCTATTGCACAAGACACTTATCATTTGGTTATTTGTCCTCATTGACTGACTATTTGCGTCTCAGTCCGTTACCACAGACAGGCAGAAATAAAGTTGTATACTAGTACTTTTTACATCAACATAAGTTCTCAATTATGATCTAAAGTATGTGACAGGTATAAAAAAATCTTAATATTGTGAGTACAATTTATAGAGTTAAGTTTGTAATGTAAGAGCTGGGAACTCTAACACAGGTTTTTTTATTTAAAAAGGTCCCCAGCTAAAATTGTAATCCTTATAACGTATAAACGCATTTGTTTTTTTTTAAATTGGATAAAATAAATAGGCGAACATAAACATACATAATATGACAGCTTTACTTCTTTCTGTTTTCAGTGGTGCAACACACTCTAACCTGGTGATTTGCGATGAAACAGGCAAAGTTATTAGTAAATCTAAAGGCCTTGGAACAAATCACTGGAATCTTGGTATAGATGAGTGTGCAAAACGAATTATTCAAATGCTCCATACGGCGAAGGATGAAGCTGGTATACCGAGGGACAAACCTCTTGATTCGTTGGTAAGATATAGTTTTTTTTTTTTTTTTTTTTTTTTTAAATTGCTAGTAGGCCTACCATCCCCGGCGACTAACGTCCCGGGGCCGAGGAAGCTAAGCTAAAATGAGCTTTTCATAGTCGTATTAATTTATTGACGTAAAAGTAACAGTATATACATTGAACGTGGGTAAGGTGGTTGAGGGTTGGTTTTGCTATAGGATACAATTCTTTTCCCTCAACCACCGGTAAGATATAGTTTGAAGGAATTCAAATGTCTTGCAATTTTCCGAGTAGAAAAACATTGTATGGAACTTGAAATTAGCGTTGCAAATTTGAAGGCAAGATTTTTTGAAAGAAATAAAAAAAAAATTTTTGCTTAAGGGTTTGACGCTGTCCGGTTGTGAGCAAGAGAGCAGTAATGCTGATTTAGCTAGACGGGTCAAAGAGCTGGATGGATACAGCGCAGATTCCGTCTATGTAGCTTCAGACACAGCCGGGTCTCTCTTCACCGGCGCTCCAAATGGTGGAATGGTTCTTATTGCTGGTAAGTCAATATTATCAAGTGGAGTATGACATAAGAAAAGACATTATCATATGATAATTGGAGTAGAGTTTTTCACAGCAAGAATGCATATCCACTTTATAGGTATATGATTGGTGTTTTGACTCGTATTTTTGAAATGAGAGAAATTATAAGTATTTATTAGAAGTCAAATCTAACGAACTACTTATATGTATTAAGGAGAATAAATTAAAGCGTCGAAGTCATGTTTTCCTCCCTAAACCCCCTTCTCCACATATACCGTGCTACGCCAATTTTTAGTGTCCAATTTTGGTTGCTAATCTGCACGCTCATAACTCAAATATCTCATGGGGACCACATATTGCCACATATCTCCTAAGATATTGCGTTATACTTCTATTAATAAACATCACGTGCAGCCCGAACTCAATTGAATTGATTGCTTCTAGAGTTTATAAATTGACCAATTTTATGATTGGTACGATTGACGACATGTTTTTTCGAATTAGTTTGGCTTTGAATTGGCCTTCAGAATTAAGTTTTGACAATTTCGTGGTAAACGCTGACGAACTTCAGTTCTCAAAAGGAGTTAGAATTACTAAGCTTTTTCTATGTTTTCTGAATAAAAGTCCTTGTAATAAATATATGAGTAAACATTATTTACCTTTGTTACGACAGCTATAGCCAACACATTACAATGCAGTAGCGCTTGGATTCTTTCTGGTCTTGCTCTCAGAGTTTTGCAACTGTTCAATTCCAATTCCCATTCCCAGGCGATCAGTCTTCCTGCCCTGTCACACATCGGTGGATTTTGTTCTAATACATATCCATTTCCTGCAGGTGTAACGCACATAAGTTGAAATGTACATTGGTGTACATTTTGGGTTTAATTAGTTTATAAAAAAAGCAGTGGCGCTATAACCTTTTAAGGACTGGGTCCTCGGATATCTATATCTCTTTCTTGATCATTTGTTTTTTCTAATAGACATTTTGGGTCATAAGGTATCCTCGCTATATTTTTCTACACCTTATGAGCGACTGTTAAATGCGCACATAGTCTGAGTCCGTTGGTGCACAGCTGGGTTTCTGACGTACGTCCTAGGGGACGAGAGTCGCACGCTGAAGCCACCAGTGACTAGGCCAACACTGCTCGTTAATTATTTAAAATTGTTAAAAATAATACTGGGCTATAAAACGCTCTGTTGTTGTTATAGGAAGGGCAAAGTGTAAGCCTTGATAGGATGTGACATGATCTCATTTTAATATAGGACATCTGATAACCTTTTGCGCTTTGAATGTGTAATATGAGGGCTAAAGGTTACTTGCAAAAAAATTCCTATTGTTAAACCAACGACATAGCTTGATGAACTCGGTGATTATATGTCTAGTCCTGCGGGAAAATAAACCTCTGACGCCTAGTAGCAATTTGTGTGTGGCGATTTCTGTAAAATTTGAGAATTTTGCTTCTAAAATTATTCTTTTAATTATGACAACATTTTACCACTCGTTTTTTTTGAAAAAACCTTTTATAAAACTCAGCAATATAGGCGTAAAGGTTTACATATTACTGGTTAGGGATTCAAATACTATAGTGCTAAAAGTATTTTGATGCAATAATTTTCTCAATTAGTTATTAATAAATGTTAATTAATTTAGATTGTAATTAATAACATGAAGACAATTTATTTGCATTAAATAAAAAGAGAGTAGAGATACGATAATAGATGAAACGAGAGAGATACGACTGGACCGTAGCGAAGTAGCGATCCGTGGTTTCCTACCACTCATAATAAATTAACGTATGTTTAATATAATGTTAGTATGTTTATCTAATTATTAGCGTAGTAAGGCACTGAAATTATTGTTCTTAGAAATCATTATTAGTGCTTTTCGATGCTTATTCCGCGGTACTACGGCTACATCATAAAATTCAAGATTTTAATTTAAAATGGGGTCAGATAATTGCACTGTCACATTTATCTATGTGAGTAAGTAGTGTAGATTACCATAATGTAATGAATTTGGGACTTCCTCAAAACTTTTTTGACCTTGGCTTTCGACATTTTGTCTATGAATATTAATAAAATACGGCCTTATCAAACGAGTTTGTTTTATACGATATTTATATAAACATTAAATTCTTTTTGTTCCGGAGTTTAAAACGAAATTTGATAGCATTTCATATATTTATAAGTACATCGATAATATATAAGAAATTGGTTAATTATCCACTACCATAGTATGTATATATATTATGTGTGTATATTTGTTACTTATCTAGGTGCATTTACTACGTAATACAGTGAAGAAAAGCATGCGTCTTAGAGTTAAACTAAAAAATCATATGAACATCGAAAATCTCTCTATATATTTATGTATTCAATTATATAATACACAAATATTACATATTAAGCGTATATTATTGAAACTCCTGATAGTATTATCACTTTACATACAGATATGAAATGATAAAATGAATTTTTTATTTTAATATTAAGTGAAAGACAACCAAGAAAAAATGTGTATGTGCCTTACATATAGAATATAGCTATTGATTTTTGGGTTTGCTTGCTGGTTTCCTTGAAGAGACGCGTGCCTAGCCAAGCACGGGCTGTGTTATCCGTACATATTTAGTTGACACTTTATTCTCTATTACTCACTCACGGCGTCGGCTGTCTCAAACGAAGGTTTCTTATCAATCTTAATTATAATAAAACATATAAACCTAAACCTGACAAACTCACACTCGAAAATATCAAGAAATCGTTTGTAAATGCATTTGTGGTTTTCTTTTAAACGTGAGATTACCGAAACCGTAATTTCCAACACATTTAATCTGGAGTGGTTATTGTACAACATTGGAGAGATAGTACCAATGTATGTGCGCTTATACCTGTATGACGCAGTTTGCCATGATTTAATACTTGTTTATCGCATAATAACAGATGTTCGAGAGATATATTATATATATGCATAGTAACATTTGCTTTGCAATTCATTTATTTTGTCGGTTTAGAACGTATACGAATACTCAAAATTTTTATTGTTTCGGCATTTTGAATTGAAGCGTGTAATAAACGAATTTTGAATTATATAAACCTGCGCCGGTACTGTGTTACTTCCAATACCTGTCCAAGTTATTTGTATGCAACGTCTATGTAGTTCTCAGAGAGCACCAATGTGCTATAGTTCGGTACAAAAAGTCCATTTTAAAGTCCCTAATACATACGATTGCTTTTTAAAATAGGAATCATAATTAAATTACCAATAAATCCCAAATCATAGTAGGTACTTGAGAATTCAATTAAAGGAAGTCATTATTGTGCTTTTTTTATCGTCTTTAACAAAGGAATAATGAAATTTTCAGGCACGGGATCAAACGCGTTGTTAAGAACACCAGATGGTCAACAGTTTGGGTGCGGAGGCTGGGGTTACCTTCTCGGCGACGAAGGAAGTGGTAAAAAATATTGATATTACTATAATTTTGGGTAGTTTATTTAAAAGTAAACAACTAAACTTTCTTAAATACAATTCTATTTGGCCACAATTAGTCGGCGTGTTTCGCCATTTTAGTTTGCACATCTAGATTATTGAAACAATTAAGACAACGGAATACTTGTAGGAACAATGGCAAAAAAAAACAATTTTGTTTCAATATATCAAATGAAACATGGCGTTCCTTACAAGTTCCTTGTAAACAAAAAACTCAGCGTTTAAATACTGTGACGAGGAGTTTGGGAAATGATATTAAATGTAAATTTAGGTCCTCCTTTTTTTTTAAATGAAATATTTCCCAATATAAATAAATTTTGATGTGATTTATAAGAAATATATAAATAATACATATAATTTTACAGCGTACTGGATTGCCCACCGCGCTATTAAAATAATATTCGACGATTGTGATGGTTTTCGACCAGCTCCTCACTCGACAACAAGGCTTTGGGAGACCATAAAAAATTACTTCAAGGCAGATTCGAGAGCAGATCTATTGCCGCATGCGTACAAACATTTCGAGAAGTCATTTTTTGCTGGTAAGTTTTAACGATCTAGGTATAAAGGTACTATGAAATTGCTAGTTTTAATGCTAGTGACTAAGCAAAACTATAATTAGTGGTTTAGTATTGTCCATATGTTGATCGATAGTAATGTGTATAAAAATATACCAAAAATATTTTTTTGTAGAAAATGATTTTAATATTTTTTGTATTTCAAAATTTATCCTCTTATTGCGGATTATTAGTAAAATCTATTTAAATTTATTTAATTATTTTGACGTTTCATTCCAGGTCTAACAGCAGAACTGTCAACTCTCGCAGATGAAGGCGACGCTCTATCCCAGCATATATTTGCTGATGCGGGCGCTGCACTAGCTTCGCACGTGGCTGCGCTCGCGTCTCGAAGCCAGAATGGAACTAGGCCATTCGAAAATGGCTTGAGGATTGTCTGCGTGGGATCCGTGTGGAAAAGCTGGCATGCGCTCGCGCCGGGTGCGTTAAGTGCGCTTGCTGCGAGACGGGTGAGTTTTCTAATTTTGAACTATATGATGAATCTAATTTATTTATTTATTCAATAATAAAACAACAGACACTTCACAAATAAAAAAGTATACAAATTACATATGTAATAGACATAATATCCTTAAAACGCTTCTCAAATATAAATGAAGAATAAAAAATGTTATAAAAGTTGGAGTTGAAAATAAAACTAATATAAACAGGAACTAAACTAATAATTGCTACCAACACATGACAATTCAAACAGCAATTACGAGTATGTACACGGACAAAACAATAAAAAAAAATAGGACCGCTACCTTTGATTGTAACGTATTTTCATTTGTTTTCCAATTATTTTTTGAAGTGAGACCTAGTGCGTGTTTCAAATACTGAGACCATTTCAAATAATCTTTCACAATAGGCATAAGAGAGTTTACGTATGTACTTCATTAGGATTTTTTCAGTAGTACAATTCATTCGGAAAGAGAGAAAAGATATATTATTAAGATTATCGTAAATGTAAACGTATACTGCATATTTTCAGACATATTTACTTGTGGAAATTAGTTTTTAAATTTATTTGTAGTCTCCTTTGCACAAAAAACTGGCACCCTAAGAAATTTACGTTCTAAGATCGATTCCTGCTAATTAAATAAATTTAATGAATAATTTTTATCGTATAAATTAATACGCGTGTTGTGAATTCTGGCAATTTATAAAATTATTTTTTGATGTATTCTTTAAACCCGATGTAAGGCCAAACAATAAGTACTCGGTAATAATGAGTTACTTAAACAACTATTATTTCATTAATATGTTTGCGCAAGTCAATGTTTCATACAATCGTCATATTGCGGATTTCGATACCCATAAAGTATTAACAATAAATTCGATTGTTTTCCAGCTAAGAATAGACTTAGAGCTAGTCCGTCTACGCGTCTCAAGCGCAATGGGTGCAGCCTGGTTGGCCGCTAAACACGTGAACTACAATTTACCCCGAGATGACTCGGCTTTCTGCGAAGTTTTCTACACATACCGGGAAAACGGCCGAACAAATATTGATGGGTATGGATGCGGTTGTAGCGAATTTTGGTGCTAAATCACAAAATCAAAAATAATAAATTGACCATACGGAACAAACAAATAAGGGTAACTAACGATAATTCTTAATAGATTTTATATATGAAAGTGGGTCGCAACGTGTCGAAATTTAACCAACCATATTTATCTATTCCGTGGGACGTAAACCGACTTCAAAAGAAGGTAATCAGTTTAACATGTATTATTATAATTTGAGATTTGAATATGTACTCAGGCCTCCAAGAATGTGTGCTCAATTTCGTATGTAGGAAAAATTTGTAGGAAATGAATTATTGATTTATATACTTATTCCAACATAGATTCACAACAAAATCGGTTCAGTTGTTTTTGAAGGTACCCACGCATTTTTGGATTTATAATATACTTAAATAATACCGACAGCATTTGAAGTCGGATTTCAAAAATATTTGACAAATATACTGCATTGATCTTGTGATATTTAATACTGGATAAAAACATGATACTAAAACGTATATTACTTAGCACGTGTAAAATCTGTATGCTCTTGTTATATGGTTTAAAGAGTCATACTAACTAACCATACTTGGTCAGGTTATCTACTAGTGTCATATATACCTACTTTTATGCATTTTTTGCTGTCTAAATTCAAGACACAGGAGCTGGCCTCCATACAAATTGACTTCGAAAATCTATTAATCATTTTGTTCTACATAACATTTATATACTAGTTTACATATTAAATGCAATTTATAATTAGAATCAAATTTCATTTTTGCGCACAGAAATATTATTTTTTTTTTTTTAGATTTAGGTACTTTGTGTGCCAAAACAACGACGTAATATAAGGCTTAATAAATAAAAATCAATTGAAAAGTGTATTAAAAATATTTTTGTATTTATTTATATTATTATTATAAGGCACATTAATTAGATTTATAGTAAATATTGGATATTTGGAAATGTTTTTGATTATTTTTTGCCAAATAAGATCTGAATTTTAGGATCTGATATCGAATTATTGTAAAAAATATTAAAACATATATTAAATATTTTATAGAAATATAGTTCCTATTTCTAATAGTATTGGAATAAGGATTATCATTTGAAATTGTTATATTATTGTGTATTTCGATTTATAGGGACCAATGTTTTATTACATATCATATTTTATTTTGGACCTCACTTAGCATTAGATATAGAATAAGTATTCCCTTTATAGTTGTAAGTAGGGTATTGTATTGTTTGATCGAAATAAATATCTTTAAATAACGGTGTTAATTATTTA